CAAGGTACGGATAAATCGATCCTGGGCTTGAGTTGTCGCCCTTGGTCGACCTGAGCGTGGTCTGTCCTGTACAGATTGTGTATCACGGTATCTGGACCATAGCCTGCTTATGACAGACTGAGAAACATTCATCGTCCGCGCCACAACCGCCTGTGTTGTGCCGATCTGTAGCATGCCAAGGGCACGTAACCTTTCATTTTGGGTAAGCCGACGCATATCAAAATTTGTTTTCTGGTCACTAAAACAATTAAACTGATGTTTCCACCCTGGAATTCAATGCCACAATGACTGTAACATTCAAAGTCACGAGTCGTGCAAATCTTGGGTTGGACCCCCATGATGATCCCAAGCATCACCTGCATTCCATGCGGTAGCTATTGGTGCGTTTGGGCGTCACATGTAACTGGAAATGTTTCTTCTGTTAGGTTCTATAGTGACTTTTTTCGTAGTCATTTGCATATTTTAGTATTATCCCCCCAAAATCAAATATCCCCTACTTTTTTTGAATAGTATATATACATGTGTATGTGTAATATTTTCTATTTTAATTTTTTATTTTTGTTTTTAAATTAGATACTGTGATATTGTTTTTATTTATGCATATAACTTTGTGATAAGATTTAGCTTGTCTCGAAAGAATCACCATATGTTTGGCGCAATATAGCCCGGTTGGTGCTGACGTGCCATAAAACCACATTTCATTTCATTTCACTATTGCCATTGAAGGGACAACTAATGTCAGTATCGGTTTCATGATTTCTGTTACATCTTTTTTGTAAATCATTTAATTCTTTTTTTCAATTTCAGGGGTTAAACTAAAATATCACACCAATACAATGTTTATCATGTTTAACTCGGGGCGAGCCGTATTCATATTTTTTTCATGACTTTTACATATTGAATGTCACGCTTGAGTTATGAACAATACGACAAAGAGAGTTTAGTAGGAGAATTTTTATGAGGAGGATCCAAATGAAACAAAACTTGATCACATAACTTTAGTTTATGAGGATGCATATTTGACAATCACCTTGTTAAATACAATACTATACACATATACACATTGACATTTACATTTGTATAGAAATTTAAAGTATTTTGTACATTTTGTGTATTATAAATGGATTTCAAAAAGTAAACATAAGTGTTTGTGTTTTAATTTGTACATTGTTTTATACAGATAGAATCTTAACTGATCCTAATAATTGTTTTTAGGGACTACTATGTAATTTATTTTTATTTTTTATTATTGTTTTTTTTTTTTTTTTGGGGGGGGGGGGTCCAAGTATTTGGGGTGGGGCGTACTCCCCCCCACCATGTGTGACGCCCATGGCCTGTACCATAACAGGTCCGGGACTGTACAGCGCAGTGGATGCTTACGGCTGGCCTCTGGATCCATTCACTTGATTTGATGTTTGTTTATTTTTTGCTATGTCTGTATAGTCCTGTCCGCAAGTTTATCTTTTAGATTTTTATTTTGCGTGTAGTGCGGTCCTACCGCACTTACTATGGGAGAGAGGGAGGAAGAGAGAAAGAGAGAGAGCGGTGAGAGGAAAACGGAGGACCTGGAGAAAACCCACGAGGTTGGACAGGTGACCCTACTCCCTGTCACGTACAACCGGGGATTCAAAACCACGCCAGTTGACTCAATGACAGACCTTATGATACAGCACGCACGTGCTAACCATTCGCACATCCACCCCCAAATTAGAATACATGTATCAGTATAGAACAAACCAAATATACAGATGATGGGGAAGATCTAAATAAACGCAATAATTAAAATCCTCTCGGAATAACATATTTACAGTTGCTGAGAGTCAAGAAAACCCACTGTGTTGGTGCTTGACTTGAAAGAGGGATCTCTATAACATGAAAGTTCAGCCATTTTTTCTTTTAGTAAATAGTTATCTGTGGATGACCGTAACTTGTCGGAGTTGACAAGTAAAAGGGTACCAAGTTATTATAACATTTAGATTATAAAGGTATTTTATATCTGCAACCAGTGAAATAACATTGAATATGCTCAATGTACAGTTAATGGTACAGTTAATGATAAAGCAATTTAAAAAATAAAACAAACGTAATTTCTAAAGCTACTGTAATAACCAATAAGCTAAATATTTCTGCTATTCAGATTCATCAAAAGTAGATTTTTTACGGCTGTAATAGTTGATAGATGTGTAGAGAATTGGACGTGCGATGGCTATTTATAGTATCATAGACTCTTCCGCTGAGTGTTACCATAGTGCGTAGTGTATGCGAGAAATCACTTCAAGATAAGCCACTGAAGCGTGTACATTCGCCGTGTCGAGACCAACATTCTGTAGGGTGCATGGGTCACCCTAACAAGAACAAGTTATTTTACACTCACTGTAAATTTGCATGCTGTTTCTAAATCTAAATCTACCACTTAGATGTAAATTTACAAGTCAGTGTTAAAATGCAGTCAATTTACGGTGAAAATACACAAATATTATTTACAGTGTATGTAAGTCTCGAAATGACGGGGTACATTAAACCCTATCTTTCTCTCTGGACAGGGCCCTTAACCGAATGTAGTCGATTTGCTGCATAAACTTATTGATTGTTTGGAATTACATGGATTTCATTAAATTAACACAACGATATGTTACCAACCCACGTAGTTAGATTCTGTTTACGTTCACGATGAATCGTACTAGAGGAATTTTCCATACACAATTTCAAATATTTTTTCAGAATGTTATATTTTAAATGTATCACGGTTTTAAATGTTATAAATAAGAAAATTATTTTGTAAAAATTCAGTTGTTGATTTTAACAGCGATAATAAAAGGTATTATATATCGTGTTTTAAAATCGATTTGATTGCATAAGGAAGGCCCAACAAGGAAATAAATTTTTATGATCAAAGTATAAAATAATATATTATCATAAAATATCTACATATGTATATGAAATGGTTATAAAATGAAATATAACGGGAATAAAGTATTGAGATATTTCTATACATGTTACCTTTTGAAATTGATTACACCAGCCTTTACTGCCGTTGGTGGACATCTGAAAATTTGTACCCTCTACCCCTGAATATGATAACCTCCTGTCCTGATCTAAGTCTGTCTCTGTTATTTACTTAAAACGTAAATTAAATTGTTTTCAAATTATGATTCTTATGTCATAATTAGCTGGTTTCCAGGCGCATCTGTCACCAAAAGGTAGCGTGCTTAAAATGCCATAGAGATTCAGAGTAGGAAATGAAATGGGATTTAACGTCTTACTATTCTGAGATTCAGAGTAGGTTGTAGAACCTTAAAAGATATTAGACGCAGTTTTCAAATATTGTATACATTATGCATAATTGGCTTTGTTTCTGCACATTTGGGTATATGCAACCAATCAATCAATTAATACATTTTTATCCACAATATATAATAATAAATTTAGAAATTATTAACTAATGAAGTAACACGATGTTTAATATTGTTAATATTGATTTAATTGTATATTAATTCATATTAATATGCTTAAACTTTATTATGTCCGCAAGGCTTTAATACACGAAAAAAGAATTATTATTATAAGAACTCATTCCGGCAATGCCAATCTTAGGAAAGTTGCATGGCTTCTCTGGCAGGAACAAGCTGGCCGGGCCAAGAGAAACTGGGGCAAGTTTTATTTGTTCATCAGACTTACGCTTGAATATGTAATCCTAGTCCTTGTAACTTTACGTCGATTTATGCTTATTGAGTCGAGGGTTGGATGGCTGAAAGGTTAGCGTGCGCGCTGTATCATAAAGTCTGTCATTGAGTATACTGGCGTGGTTTCGAATCCCCGGTTGTACGTGACAAGGAGTAGGGTCGCATGTCCAACCTCGTGGGTTTTCTCCGGGTCGTCCGGTTTTCCCCCCCCCACAGCTAAAGACCCCTATGCACAAGCGAATTATAGAAATAAAATTTTAAAAAACATATGTTAGTCCTGAAATGACCTAGTTTGTGTCGAGTGGACGTTAAACCCCATTTTTTTCTCTCTCTCTCTCTCTCCTTATTGAGTCCATATTAAGAACTTTAACAGGAAACTACTACACTCCACGGTTCACTGTCAAGACATAGAATGTGTGGGAAGATTTGACCAATATTAAATTTTTGTGCCGTGAAAACCAAAGATATTTTATATATTCGAATTGGTGCAGCTTTGCTATTATGCTGAATAATAATGATAAGGTTTGTCCACCAAATATTCTAGACTGTATCGTGCCATTGAGATGCTAGGATGACAAGGGCGGTAACTCCAAACTACGAATGGGCGTATAAAAATGTCCGATTTGGTTTTTCTCCGGATCCGCCAGTTTCCTCCCACTGCTAAAGACCCGTACGCACAAGTGAATAAAAGAAATAAATAGCAATATGTTAGTCCCGAAATGACCTAGTTTGTGTCGAACGGACTTTAAATCTAAGCCCCCCCCCCTCTCTTCGTAATGATGGTCGACGGACGATAACCCAGCTGCCGTACTAGTCTGTCTCATTGAAATTTATTATTCCCCATTTCAATAACTTGCCATCTTTTAGTTGTAGTCAGTTGTCAGAGTCCAATTGTGAAATACAGACAGTGAACATAGCGATTTTAAAACTGTCCTGGATGGCTGATTTCCCAAATATTATTTTCATTACGCAAGGGGTTCATGCTTTGCTTGCGTCATAGGCCTGTTACGTGCTGCACCGGCTGCTTTCACCGCCATAGTTGCAAAACAGAATATGTCAAAATATTCATTTTACTATCTCATATATTTATTTACGTAACAAATCTATCTCGAGCGCATTAACATTCGCATAAACATTCCGATATTGTGATCCTTTTTTCTCTGTGTATATTCACACAAAGCATTCTTTACTTCCTTATTCTAATCCAAACTATCCAAATTACGTCCTTGTTGACGTTGCTGACGATATATTTTCAGATGGCTAGGAAAACGTAAACAACAACTGTTGCCATTTCATGGCTTTTAAAAGACGGCATACCCATAATGAGCATCATAACTCCACCAGAACTTGTCTTACACGTTCAACTTCGCGTTAAATAATCATTATGCGTGGTTTGTTAGTTGCTGTTCTTGTTGTTGCAACCGTTTCTACTGGTCATTCACACAGAAGAAGGTATTGGAGGAGAAGGCCAGCGTTTAACCTTGAAAGTGTAAGTTGTGATACATTTAAAAGAGCGGACCTGTGCAACTGTTGTAAAGGTAATTATACGTAGTACTTAACTCTTGACAGTTTTAATTCTAATATAACACACCTAGGGACAATTACACTCTTGTTTATTGCACACGTAACCATATTATCATTATTAATGAAAATCGTATTTAAAATGAACTTGGTACAGTGTATGTATGTATCCTAATGTAAAAGTTATTCTATAGCTTATGGAGATATTGAGCAATTGTTTTAAAAAAGATTTCGGTCTGAGGTGATTTAACCGTGGGGGGTATATCGGATGTCTTTCAATTTTCGATGTTTTTACTGTTAATTAGTTTTACCACCTAGGATTTTCGCTAATTTGGACATGAAAAGGTTATTTTCAATATTTTAACTGTTCATTTGTTTTTCCAAGTAGGAGTTTCGCTAATTAGGGGAGGACAACCTTATTTTCAATATGAAATTATTCAAGATTGATTATTTTTATTTTCTGGGAGACAGTGGTCATTCCCCTTTAGTTTGATAGTAAACTATCTCAAATAATGACTTTATACAAAACATGTCATTAGATACAGTGGCGGATTAAGCTCCACCAAGGCCTGAGGCGGCAGTTGCTGGAGGGCCTATTTAGTTTTTAAATAGGGCCTATTTAAAATGGCGTGGGCCGAATTAATTTCGGGTCAGGGCCTATGTTGATTCCCGTTGGGCCTAAACCCCACCCCCCTAACATTCATTGTCTATGCGTTTTTAATCGTATCAGACAAGTCTAAAAAATTTTTTTTTACAAAATCTTTGGGTCTGAGGCTTCAGCCTCACTGATAATCCGCTACTGATTTCTAAATGTATAGGCTAATTTCTCTCAGACTGATTAAAATACAGATCTATATTTCGTTTCGTTTTATTATACTTCCGATGGCCTACACTACCTAAAGATCTGACAAGTTGTACTGGAAGGCCGTGTCAGTGGTCGTACGAGCGGCTTTTGACCCTGTGACGCCAGACATTGATTAATCAATCAGCGTTGACGTTTCCAGTGGTTTACTCACAGTTCCCTGCATGACACGCCAAGAAGTCGCCGTAACAGACCGTGTGAGGGGCTAATCCCGCACTTCAACCAAACGCCGGTAATATAACAACTCTTCCAGATCCTAGTGTTGTGAAGACAAGTAAAACGAAATTTTGAACTATAAAAAACGAAACGAAACAGGATCGGTGTTTTAATCAGATTGAATTTCTGTAAGATTCAAATCTCTGCCAAGCATGTTTTTGAACAGACTTTAAAATGTAAAGAAAGAAATGTTTTGGATAATTATATTGGTAAACTGCCATTCTAATGACAACGAGGTACCAAAAGGTTCCGCTTATTTTCCTTACTTGTATTACTGCCATATACGGGGATTTAATCCGCGTAACTCATGTGTCAATTATAAATCTTAAACATAGTTTAAATTCAGATTATAGACATATTATGGGAGATGAGACAAAGGCAAAAATATTATATAAACCTGTTTTAACTAATTTAATATCATTTTGTTTAGATCCTTGTGATGATGTCGAATGTCTCAACAATGGAGTATGTGTTAATGGTATTTGTAATTGTCCCTGTGGCTTCTCGGGAGCAGATTGTGGTGGTAGGAATTAATAGCAACATTTGTCTGTTCCCATTTTAACTAAAGATGGTCCTACAGCAAGTATTCACCTGATACTCGCGCGCACGTAAAGGTTATTCAAATGTGAAAGAGTTCACTGTACTGACTGAAAATTTCTCTTACTTGAAGGATGTAGACTACTTTTATAAAGATTATTTCGATATAATTCTAGTCGATCTGTGTGCTGCTAAACTTTGTTGACGATTATTTCGATTTAAAATACAGATGTGACGTCATCCTTTGATGTTGGCCTACCATTAATTCCAATAATGGTACGGAAAACTTGCCAATCGAACATTATCTATACTAGATGAAATATTGGACTCGCGTGACGTTTTTCATTGAAAAGCACGTGCTGGATAGTGTCTGTATTTTAAGTTTTTTAATGGTCTCGAGCTCAAGACATTGCGTAATATATTTCTACAACACTCGGCTAACGCCTCGTGCTGTATCAATATATTACTTAATGTCTCGCTGTCGACCATTAAACCATACATAATTCTAGTCGATCTGGGTGCTGCTAAACTTTGTTGACGATTATTTCGATATAATTCTAGTTGATCTTTGTGCTACTAAACTTTGCCAAAATAATGGAACTTGTGTATCAGAAGCTGGTGGGGTGTCATGTAAATGTGAGGACGGATTTACCGGTGACAATTGTGAGGGTAAGATAACCTAATCTATTTTAATACTATATTTTATGTCAGCAATGTATTTGTATTAATATTGTCAATCATGCTGCCCTGTTGTAAAGAGAGAGAGAGAGAGAGAGAGAGAGGGTTAATGTCACTTCGGGACTAACAAATGGTTCAATTTTATTGGTGATACTTTGGAACACGATAACTGCTGGGTGAGAGTGATGAAACCCAGAGTATAGATTCATAATACCAACGCTGTGACTAAGTTCGATGATGCAAATTTTCTGCTTAGGCTAAGTAGCTATAGGCAACTTTATTGGTCAAATAACAACCCTGCTTTTAATTGCGGTAGAATGTTTAAAGTTGGTGTAGATGTTCTTCCGGTGAATGTCTTGACTGAGTTCAATGATTAACATTAGCCGCTAAAGCTAAGCAGAGCTGAGAAATTTAATTGGTCCGTGCTTTTGGACAAGATAACTTTGATTCTAACTGACGGAGAGTGATGAAACGTAGTGTATAGTTGAACTACCAGGTACCTCAAAACCGTGTCTGCTTAGACTAAGTATACATAATCAGTCGGATTGCTCGATACTTTTCATAAAGATAAATGTGCATTTAATTAGTATGTGTCATTGCGGCGGTGGACATCAGTCGCACTGTTGGCTTGTTTAGAAGTGTCCAGACCATGTTTTCACCCCTTCAAATATGATTGTCATTTGGATGTTTTGAAACATACTCACATGCTTGTACTGTTTTTGATATGTTGAGCTAGATAACCGAGAATGAATGTTTGCTAGATAACCGAGAATGAATGTTTGCTAGATAACCGAGAATGAATGTTTGATCTAGATAACCAAGTAGCAATGTTTTGTATCCAGACAAACTACGGTCGCATCCGCGACAATCGTGAGAGTTATTTCGTTGTAAATGAAGAAGACACAACAGCTACCAATCTTTATGACGGAAAATTATTTTCTTGTATATTATATTTGTATATTATGTTATTTTGATGAGCATTATCTTGATATAATTCTAGTTGATCTATGTGTTGCGGAAACTTGTCAAAACAATGGAACTTGTGTACCAGAGGCTGGTGGAGTGTCATGTATCTGTGTGGCTGGATTTACCGGTGACTTTTGTGAGAGTAAGATAGTTTTCAAATAGTACTATAATATAATCAATCTATTTTACTACCATATTTTATCCTAGAAATATGTGTTTGATTTACAGAGCAGAAAAGTAGGACGTTAAACCCCATTTCATTTCATTTGTGTTTGATTTAATTATCCATGTTACCTTGTAGTAGCTCTTTGATCAGTTTCACTAAATAGCGAAAGTAGACATCTTATACTTAAATTAACAAGGCCATTTTGAATTGGCGGACAGTACACGAACCTAAAGTCACTAGATGTCTTTGTGGGATTGAGAATTACATGTAGGAATTCACAACCAAACACACGCCAATCCTTGAAAAAACAAGAATTTATTTTTTTAGTGATTTTAATTTTATCTACCGTAAACTTGAAAAACGAGAGTTTGTTTTAATTTTTGTATGTATGTATCTATAATAAACTTAGAAATACTTGTATTTTATCTACTTTAATCTAAAGTGTTTATTTATAGAAGATGTATGTGAGCCGAACCCCTGTCAGTATGATGGAACTTGTTCACGTATCGAAGGGGGATTCAATTGTTCTTGCATAGATAGAATAACTGGACCAACTTGTGAAGGTTAGTAGATCAGTTTATACATCTCACATCTCTACCAATTATAATATCAAACTAGTAATACTCAGTCAAGGTTAGTAGATCAGTTTATACATCTCTACCAATTATAATATCAAACTAGTAATACTCATGAGTTAATATTTATTACATCCACCCTTTCTGTATAAGAAGTAGGGTCGCCTGTCCAGCCTCGTGGGTTTTCTCCGGGTCCTCCAGTTTCCTCCCACTGCTAAAGACCCTTACGGGCAAGCGAATCATTGAAATAAAATTGAACCTCGTGTTAGTCCCGAAATGACCTAGTTTGTGTCGTATGAACGTTTGTTAAACTCTCTCTCTCTCTCTCTCTCCCTGAAACGAAACATGATAATCTTTATTTTCTTTTGTTTCAGTTATAGACAATATTATAACATCACCCAATTACCCGAATAATTACCTAGCAGACATTTCTTTTGTAATTAACATTCCGGGAGTTTCCGGTAAACAGATCCGTATTGCATTTGATGGGGATTTTGAAATACAGAAAACAGCTGCCCCAGGGTGTGACCAAGGCTCGAGTGGTACCACTAATTGTCAAGATAGCCTGGACATATTCACGCAGTCGCTTCGGTGAGAGTTTTAATACACATATCGTGATTCTTGGAATGTCGACGGTTTTAAATATACGTTAACTGTAACATATAGAAGAGATGGTGGGCGGGTTAGATTATGCTTTAGGTAAAATTCTAATTAGTATATCTTATAATCTGTAATGGATGTATATACAGTGTTAGTATGTTCTATCTCTTAATATGTAGGGGTGGGGCGGGGGCGAATGATTAACGCATGTGCGTTGAATTATAAAGGTCGTCATTGAGGCAAATAGTGTGGTTTCGATTCATCGCTTGTACGTGACAAGGAGTAGGGTCGCCTGTCGAACATCGTCGGTATTTTTCCATTGTCAAAAACCCATACCCGCAAGCGAATCATTGAAATAAAATTGAACCGTGTGTTAGTCAAGAAATGCCCCTCCCCCTCTCTCTCTCGCTCTCAAGGACTAGCTCTAATGTTTGTACATAGTCTTTGTGTGTATTATCTCTTATTACAGATACACTTTTTGTGGCGGGACTGCTCCAACACCAATAACAGCGACAGAAGGAGATGTTCAAGTAGAGTTCGCTGAAAACGATGATTTGACCCAATGTAAGGGGTTCAATTTATCTTATACTTATGTTGGTAGGTACACATTTAATACATACATTAAAACGTTTACCACCCCCACCAGTTTAAACGAATTATAAATGTCTAAATCATTTGCAGTGGTTTATTTCACACGTGTAATATCTTAGTAAGCCAAGTTACTCTTTCCCTCGAAAATTAGAATGTATTAATGTAGATGATGGAAGACAAGTAGGATGTTAAACAGCATTGTATTTATATAGAACCTTTATTTACTCTACGACTAGTCTAATTATAGTAACCATAATACCTGTCAGTCTAATTATAGTAACTATAATATCTGCCAGGCTAATTATAGTAACTCTCTAATATTCGTCATGTCTCGCATTAATTCGTGACAAAAAATTCAGGAATTGGCAGACACTAAACAAGATAAAGAAAATGCATAGTCAGAATGATATATAGGCTAATTATTGTCACAGACCAGTCTTTAATGGTGTATAAACAAGGGCATCTCATCTTCACAAGTCAGTCTTTAATGATGTATAAACAGGTCTATCATGTATACACTAGTTTTATCACAGTGTATAAATTGATAACATATTGGTTTTCTATTTTTAGATGTATAGATTTTAATATGACAGTATCGGATATGATGATGACTTGATGTGAAGTACAGAATAATAAAGTATTCGACATTTGTTTTGTGTGAAGTGTGGGTGTCTTATTTTCTATCAATTCCCCCTTCTTTATTCTAACTAGTTCGATTTTAATTAGATGTGTAAATTATATAAATTGATTTGTTGAATATATATATTTGTATACATAATTAATATCTGAAGACGCCTATAGAGGCCAGAGAGCTAGCTTATATGATTTAATGTATGTCAGAATGAAGTAATGTGGATTTATCTTATTTAACTTGACATAGACGACATTCCAATTACTGAATTTATTTGGTAGAATTAATCGCGACTGTTTTGACCTTGATGTATTATTTGTTTAAATCTGTTTGTTGAAATGATCTTAATTAATAAAACTACATACATAACTAAAAAAACTATTTAATTAATAAAAACTATCTAAATTAATAAAAAAACCTATCTTAATTAATATAAAAAAACTGTCCTTATCAGTAAAAAACTATCCCAATTAGTAAAAACTATCTTAATTAATAAAAACTATCTTAATTAATAAAAACTACATTAATTTAAAATAAAATAAAAGTATCTTAATTATCAGTTAAACTATCTTAATTAGTAAAAGATATATTAATTAATAAAAACTACATTAATCTAAAATAAAATAAAAATATCTATCTTAATTAATAAAAAACTATCGTAATTAATAAAAAACTATCGTAATTAATAAAAACTACATTAATTTAAAATAAAATAAAAATTATCTTAATTAATAAAATCTATCTTAATTAATAAAAAAAACACCCTTATAAACAAAATCTTTATTTTATAAAAACATATTAATTACTAGAAAAAATCTATCTGAATTAATAAAAATCTATCTGAATTAATAAAAAAAAATCGAAATTAATAAAAAAAAATATATCTTATTTAATAAGAAAATATTTTAATTAATAAATTATCTGCATAATGGAGTTATAAAACATCACCGAATAGTACAAAGTCTTAATCACAGGTGGTTCTGTTTGCATCAGGGATACTAACCCAAGAATTATAGACAATCGCACCTCCAAGTTGGAGGTGGGGCGGGGGAAGAGGTCACACAACAGTAAAATCACCGAATAGTACACAGTCTTAATCACAGGTGGCTTTGTTTGCAGCAGGAATACTGACAAGAATTATAGACAACCACTGTTCCACACAACATTAACAAGTTAATGTCGTATGGTATATTCTAGCACATGTGTCTTCAGGAGTGAACGGTAGTTTTAATATCCAGAATGGTGGTTGTCCATCGACTGTGTGTATACTTATCATGTATGAATGGCATAAATAACTCGTCTCCTGGTAACCCTAAACCTAGCCCTTGTATGAAATTTTGAATATATGCGGGCTTCATTATCATCCGTATGAATTAGCAACAAGATAGTGCATACCAGGTTGAAAACTTGAAAAAAAAATGCCATAACGTTGCTTTTTCCAGAACAATCTGTTGATTTGGAAAATATGTGATTCAATCAACAGCAAGTACCATATAGCAGCAGATGTAACATTGTCGTGCGAACATTGTGAGCCACATTCCATATCCATAGGTCAATCTGTTCAGGAGTTATGAAGGTTTCCCTGATGCGCTCAATTTCAATGAAATAACGGCGGCCATTTTTAAAGATGGCCGCCAAAATGGAATTTAGCAAAGTGACCCAGAAGTCCATCAACCAAATTTCAACACTTCAGCCACCAGGCTAACTGAAAATCATGGTTGAATTTATTCATCCAATTGGTAATGATGCTCCAAAATCCGAGGTCTGTCAAAGGAAGTAAACCTTTTAAGGCAACACCGGGTTAATATACATGACTTCGCAACGGGTGACTTGCTGTCAATAAATGATGTATCACTACGCCGTAATATAATAAGGTTCAGTAAAATTAAATCTATACCAAAGAATTATATTTATTTATTTGTGCGCGTAAGAAAGGGTTGCGTGCTAAATAAAATCTCCTACTCGTCTTTTTTGACATAAAGAAAGAATCGTAGGAGATTCTGTATGTGTCCGTTACATTCACGTAAAACATCATTTTTTATTTACCCCCCCCCCCCCCCCACACACACACTTTAATTTCAATATAAACATTATTAGACAATACTCCTATCACGTGCATAGGTTTGTCGATATCTCTGGAAGGTTCAATTGAAGTTTTATGAAAGCTATGAAAATAGAAAAGCTGAAACTGTAAATATGTACATAGGCGTTATGTTTATTTTATAATATTGATTATTCATACCTACATTTTCATAAATTGGTGACATAATATTTTTGTATAGATTCTTTGTAACACAGGAGAACAGTGATATATGGTCCTTGGTCTTTTTCTGTTAATAAAATAATGTCGCTAAAATTAAAATTTCAATCTAAAAGATTACGGAATAGAGTCTTGTTTGATCAAGGTACCATTGCTGAAATATTCATTTACTGGCCGACAAAATTATAATTTAAATAAAAATAAACACATAAAATGCTATGAAATAATTATAAAGAGGTCCACATTAGACTATCATTAAACTCTTAAGATCAAGGAAATATTGAACCAATTTGATAAAAACGTAATTAGTTTTGCGTAATTATAAGTCACTATCTTTATTAAATTGTCACTAAATAATATTTCCTTGCAATTCCTATATCTAGAGAGTAAGGGGGGGGGGGGTAATCTAAAAGTCAAAATACGTGTCTTGAGACTCTAAAATTAACATTTGTATCTTAAAATCAATATTTGTTTTACAAATCAGATATTTGTCATAAAAAATTTGTAAATTGTATTTTGGTTTAATTTAATTTTAGTCATATAAAGATAAAATTTATTTTAGAAAATCAAAAAATTTGCCTACATTTACATTTCATCAGATACATACAACGAAAAACAATTTCCAAATACAAATTTCCAAATACAAATCTTGAAAAACATTTCTCAAATTACATTTCTCGAAGTTCATCGAACCGCAACATTCTGACTACATGAGCGGAAATCAACCTGGCATGCAATAAGTCACCATACAACAATGGGAAATCGAGCAAGCATATATACGTGCGTAGTATGGCTAATTGGGTGGGTCGTTCGAAAAAGAAAATAAATTGAAAGCAGTCTATTTTCAGAAATTAGGTTATTGTCTCATAGCGACATTTTTTGCTCAAACGAAAGAGTATTTTATCTTTTCTAAATCATGTAATCATGAATGTGCCAGGGAATACGTAATATATTGAAAGAAGAATATAAAATACTTGCCGGTCAAGCATTACACGATAACTCGTACTTTAAATTTTACCCCCCCCCCCCGCACCCCCCCCCCCCACACACACACCCATACTTGCATTGCTCATTATGTGAGGACTATGGTTTTTCAAAGCCTCCCGAGGACCCAGGTTTCCTGTCGTCTTACGGCTTTAAGATTTCATACAGTTATTGTCAGGGCCATCATGTGCATTGTCTGCTACGTAGATTGCATTGATTCAGTCATAAAAATATAACATGTTTTACAGACTATATGAGGCCTTTTCTTATATTTAATATCTACAGAGGACTTGTGTTAGATTGATTTACATTTATACACTAGAGAGGACTTGAGTTTATAGTAGTTTACATTTATTACCATGAGAGGACCTCTAATACAACTTACTTTACCTTATTTCTGAGGACTTTAGTGTTTAATACTTTACTTTAAGGACTACCTGAGGACCTGTGTAAGATTGATTTACATTTATACACTAGAGAGGACTTGAGTTTATAGTAGTTTACATTTATTACCATGAGAGGACCTCTAATACAACTTACTTTACCTTATTTCTGAGGACTTTAGTGTTTAATACTTTACTTTAAGGACTACCCGATGACTTTTGTAAGATTGAATTACATTTATACAACTTACTTTACCTTATTTCTGAGGAATTTAGTGTTTAATACTTTACTTTAAGGACTACCGGAGGACCTGTGTAAGATTGAATTACATTTATACAACTTACTCTACCTTATTTCTGAGGACAATGCAGATTTAACACTATTAGAGATTTAACAAACTTTGCTATTCCTCAAAGGTGAGTTATCTGTCCTTTGACCACGAATGACACCATAAGCATTGCAAACTAACCCAGGCATAAAAACAAGAAATGAATGAAAGGAACAATGTCAAGACTGAGTGAACGGAAAACTAACGGGTGCAGAATGATATTACGCACCTCAGTGTGTTATTTCAGGTCTCGGCGATGATCACAGGCGTATAAAATTGCAAATTAAATGATTTACCAAGAGCGTTACACTTACAGTTTGACCAGTTCTCTATCTTTATTAGAAATAATTTTATACGTCAATATGTACAGACGCAAAGCACATTCCGATGTTTTTTTTGGAGATAACATTTTTTCTAATGCCGTCAGGGGGTTGCAATTTCAGCCCCATAGCTCAATTTGGGGCACTTCCAGGGACTTCCAGTTTCTAACTAAAACTTTGGACCTTCAGGTTGAGTACATTTTTTAGGTTGCTCTTGTGGATGTTTCAGTGGACGTGAAAAATAAGAAATAAAATGGTGGCCCTTCATACATATGCATTCGAGAGTATTTTTCTTTGTAGAGGAGGGTGCCCCTTTAAATTTATGAAAGCTGGAATGCTGATATTTTACACGGTAGTTTGTCTCAACAGTATCAAGGGGACGGCTAAAACCGGAAGTCTCTATCCAAAATAGAAATAAAACTATGGCCGAAAAAACACCTAAAAATGAGCAGTTTCAACAAAAGTTGCGCATCTTTTTGTTGAATTTATGTATTTTGGCTGATAAAATGATTCCTACTAAAGATAGAGACTTGATATTTACAGGACATGCCTGGACCATTATTCTTAACTAGTCCTAAATGTTTCAAGTCTCTGGGGTTTCCAGGAACGAAGATATCAGCCAAACACCATGCACATTCCATTGATTTTGGGATGCTGTCTGTCATTTAATGAATAAAACGTGCTACTGTACATGCTCCAATTTTGCCTGTAATCAGGGCTAGGGTAATGGTAATGGAATGTAATCATTACATTTGTGAAGTAATGGTCATGTAATGAGTAATAGAAGATTTGAAAAGTAATGAGTACAAAGGATATCACATATTTATTCTTTTGTAGGTAATGACAAAAATTTAAACAAACGCAATCTCCAAATAAATAGGCGGCGGACAACAACAGAACATGTTTAAAAATGCTTCATTGTCTTTTTTTAGACTGGATCACATTATGAACATAATTTTTGATGTCTCTCCATGATCGTCTTGACAGTTCCGTTCGCTTTCTTAAACATCTGTCACAATCCAGTTTACCGGGAACTTTCATTTGTCGAATGTTGTTACCCAACTCTTCAGAAACAGCTCTCTTTTCATCGGCTGTCCAATATCTTCTGACTTGCTTACATGTACCTTTCTTACTCCCATTCAAATTAACCCCTGAAAACATATCAGAATGAATGTTAAATTGTTTGAATGTATGATTATTCGTATACATGTCGAGTGCTTTCACAAATCTGAGCATAAAAGTTTTGGATTTGTTTGTAAGAGGGTTACCGTATATACAATCCTGTGTGTATGCTTGCTAATACTGGAGTTGATATGTAACGAAATGCAATGAAAAGGGAGTTTATCAGACTTTTCTGCTACATCCGGGCTAATGAAGACGGACATACCCTTATTTCGATTGAAACTGTCAAGGGTTCTTTTACGTGCTACGGGTGGATGGGGACTCATTTTTTGTCCCATCCGAATGACTAGATCTGAACTACTGCAAAGGGGATGCCATGCAGAGTGCTATGAGGGAAATTTTGCCCAGACAGAGGTGCTACAGTTATTTCGAATTCCAACAAGGGTTCTCTTACGTGCACACCTACATGCAAACAGGGCCTCAGTTGTTGGTCCCATCCGAAAGACAAGACACTGTCGTAGCCAGGCCCTCTGTCTTGCACCACATATTTTAGATGGTTCGTCTACGGGTTCCTCAGCATCACTATCATTATCACTTTCATCATCAACTGAATGTAAACATGGAAATGAAGCAATTATTGTAGAAACAAGCCAACAGTGAGGCTGATGTCCCCCACCGAAATCCCAAAATAAATAGATGACACATTAATTACTCGCACATTTATATTTTTTTCGAACGTATAGAGGAATCAAACTATACACCAAGTTTCATCACTCTCTATCAGATAGAATCAAGATTATCTTGTCCCAAAGCATCGACCAATGAAATTGATTAGCCCTGCTTAGCTTTAGCTCGAAATGTTAATTATTGAACTCAGTCAAGACATTCACCTAATGAACATCTACATCAAGTTTAAACATTCTATCGCAATTAAAATCAGAGTTGTGATGTTCCAACGTCGTGTCCCAAAGCATCAACCAATCAAATTGCTTATCTTTGCTTACCCTAAGCAGAAAATGCTCATCTTCGAACTCCATCAAGGTATTGACCTAATAAACACCTACACAAAGTTTGAACATTCTAGTTCAATTAGAAAGAGAGTTATTGTGTCCCAAAAAGTGTGACGGACAGACGTACGGACGAAAGGCAGGGGACAAAAAAAAGTTAAATAGCTCATAACACAAATGAGTTAAAGATAGGTTGCTAGCAGGTGAGTCGTGCGAGCATATGGCGGAAATGAAATGGGGTTTAACGTCCTACTGTTCTGCTCCGACATGGCATACGCAATACAGTGTGATATGAGAAAATTTTGCCCAGACAGCAGCGCTACGGCGTAATCTTATATCGAATTCCAACTGTCAAGGGATCTTTAATGTGCGCGCCAATGTTAGGGAGCCGACGTCCTACTCACTTAGCCACCGTGGCTCCCGTAATATGATGGACGGGGGTGACGACAATATACGACCAAGACTGAAAATGGTGCCCAAAAGGGAAACCAATCTATATAAAAAATTTTTAAAAAATGTCTTAAACAAGTGACAGTTTAGAATAATTTACTAACTTGTAGTAGTAACATCAACAGAAATGTCATCAAGGTTCATTCCAGCCATCTTTGTGATATTTCCAGTTTCCATGGCAAGTAGTATCTTACTTATCTTGGCAACCTGAAGTGTATTTTCTGGCAGTCTATAATACTCTCGGTGAACCCGAATGTCATGTCCCATAAATTTTGCGAGAATGTCTAATTCATTATCTCTAAGAGACAACATTTGGCTGAAAGTAGCCACATGCTTTATTAGCTTGGTTGAAGTTATGATATCAGGCCTTTTTGTTTCACTTTCTATACTGAATCTTCGAATACAATCGGAACCTCTCAGGGCATTTACACTGTTCGGGATGGCAAACAGGTATAAGTTTTCTGGTAAAACTTCTACTTGTGTCCTACATTTCAACAGTAAATCTATTCCCGTTTTCATGTCTTCTGTCAATAAATCAGGAACTTTCCTTCCTCTTTTTCCTTTAGTTTCAAAGCGATGAAGTTGTTTGCACAGTTCTGTTTCAAATTTGGATAATGATTTGCCCACGTCTCCATTGTCATGAGTTGTATTTTGTAACTTTTGATAGCTTTCAATAAGTATTCTGGATGACTCTCCACTTCTTCTTCTATTAAAAAGAATAACCTTAGTTAATAATATCTTTGAAAGTTCATACCAGTCCGCGGTGTTAACAGAGTTCTGCAGTTTACCTATTAAAGTCTCTTGTTGTTTTCTCAAGAATTTCTGTAACAGGATTAGATCATCAACCATAGGAAGTAGCTGAGGTTTGTTCCACTTCTTTTTCTGAAGCGTTTTCAATGCCTCGGAAGATATCTGATCACCCCATTCTAGCTCACACTATTCAGTAAATTGGTCTGCAGCACACTTCTGGGTGTCATTCTGGGCAACCAGGGCTTCTGCCTTTAACAGCATTTTTTAAAAGATGAACCCAATTTCAAAGCCAGAGAGGATGTTTTGTATCGTTGACTGACAACATCATAACCACAAATTCTTTTCACAGCGTCAACCACAAATTTAAATTTAGCTGGCTGGATTACGTTTTGGAAAGTAACTAGGGGATCTGTTTTTCTCAACTCAAGTGCAAGACGTGCCAATTCTCTTATCTTTTGGGAAATGTAATGTTTGTTATGTTGTTCCTTTCCCACTTTCAATAGTTTAACACCATACTTCAATATCAGTTCGTCATTTCGCACGCACATTGAAACGCTATCATTATTCATATCCTCCAGGATTTTGGTTAGTACTGCGTTATGTTCAACATCTGACGGGAGCATCAGAGAACTTCTCGACTGAATATTTCGATTTCGTGCTTTTGATGTGTGTGACTTTCTCAGTTTGCATACTTGTTGGTGCTTCCATAGCTTTTTATTTATGAAAAGGTCCAAGCAAAGATCACAAGGACTATAATCTCTTGGGTTTCTCTTTTCTGCTGCATTAGGTCGCTTGGATGGAACTAATTGACCACTTCCTTTCTTCAGAACTTCACAATTGTATGAAAAATTACCCTTGTTTGTCAGTTTTTGAATCAGTATTTTTCGCTTGTTGCACTTCTTTTGAAGGGATGAAAATTCTGCCACTTCTGTCTCCTGCGAATGTTTCTGTACAAAATGTCTAGGTAGCTTTGAATATGGTTTATCACAATAAACGCAATAGTTCTTCTTATCCCAACGTCTCTTATCTTTACTGTTTGAGGTGACAACCACACTCAGTCCAGCAACTGCAATAATGAAGATAATAAGAGTAAAAACTCAAAACTAAACATTATTGTTAAGCTAGACAAAAAAGGGTAGTTCAGAGTACTTTAAGGACTACCCGAGGACCTGTGTAAGATTGAATTACATTTATACAACTTACTCTACCTTATTTCTGAGGACTTTAGTGTTTAATACTTTACTTTAAGGACTACCGGAGGACCTGTGTAAGATTGAATTACATTTATACAACTTAGTCTACCTTATTTCTGAGGACTTTAGTGTTTAATACTTTACTTTAAGGATTACAATGTATATTTAACACTATTAGAGATTTAACAAACTTTGCTATTCCTCAAAGTAGTTCAGAGAGAGAGAGAGAGAGAGAGAGAGAGGGTAGTTCAGAGAAAGAGAGAGAGAGTAGTTCAGAGAGAGAGAGAGAGTAGTTCAGAGAGAGAGAGAGTAGTTCAGAGAGAGAGGGTAGTTCAGAGAGAGAGAGAGAGTAGTTCACAGAGAGAGGGTAGTTGAGAGAGAGAGAGGGTAGTTGAGAGAGAGAGAGTGTAGTTCAGAGAGAGAGTAGTTCAGAGAGAGAGAGAGAGAGAGGGTAGTTCAGAGAGAGAGAGAGAGAGAGAGAGCAGTTCACAGAGAGAGGGTAGTTGAGAGAGAGAGAGGGTAGTTCAGAGAGAGAGAGAGTAGTTCAGAGAGAGAGAGAGAGTAGTTCAGAGAGAGAGGGTAGTTGAGAGAGAGAGAGAGAGGGTAGTTCAGAGAGAGAGGGTAGTTCAGAGAGAGAGAGAGTAGTTCAGAGAGAGAGGGTAGTTGAGAGAGAGAGAGGGTAGTTCAGAGAGAGAGTGAGAGGTTAGTTCAGAGAGAGAGGGTAGTTCAGAGAGAGAGGGTAGTTCAGAGAGAGCGAGAGAGAGGGGGGGGGGGTTAGTTCACAGAGAGATAGAGATATGGGGTTTAATACCCAGTCGACACAAACTAGGTCATTTCGACATTAACATATTGTTCAATTTTGATTAAATAATTCGCTTGCCAGTAGGTGTCTTTCGCAGTGGGAGGAAACTGGTCATGTACAAGCTGGGAATCGAAACCACACCACTTGACTCAATACACATATAGTATTTAATTTAATTTCAACAGTAGAATACTCACAAGAAGTTTGTTCATCATTTGTACTGTCTTTTTCTAGCATTCCCTCTTCTACCATAGCTTTTTCTGGAAGAACATCAGTGTCTTCACATTCCATAGTACCACCTTCATTATCATTCTTGTCATCAACTGAAATATACAAAATTTTAATATCTATGAGGTGTGCTTTCAAAGAACATTTGGACGAATGAAAAATTTCAATAAGAAACATTTCAGTGTCAACAAGAACAAATATTCCGACCTTTTAGCTTAATAAAATCCCAAAATAACAATACCATAACACAATGCACTTGGTAAATCAGGTGAAAACTTGGAAAAGACTAGGACACAGACCAGGGTTGTTAATCCATTTTAAAACGAATAACATTTTTGTGTAGAAAACCATTTGGTTGGTTTTATATTTGTATTACATGGAAGCTTGATATGTGTACGTGGTTCTACTACAAGTACGGCAGTGCCGTAGCAGTCCGTGTTTGCTACGCACCGTTAAATGCGTTAACATATTGTTCAATTTTGATTTAAATAATTCGCTTGCCAGTAGGTGTCTTTCGCAGTGGGAGGAAACTGGTCATGTACAAGCTGGGAATCGAAACCACACCACTTGACTGTTGTGAGCGTATGTTTCGTTGCCTGGCAACCTATCTTTATATTTATTACAGAAAACTAAAAGATTACAAAACTATCTTGATAAGTATAGCATTTAATGCCAATGACAAATCTATACAGAATTGTATTAAATGATATGAAATGGGGCGTAACACTATCAACAGATTATGAGCAATTTTCGTAAATACAGAATTTATTTACACCGGGAACAGGATATAAAATAGGCTCATAAATACAACAGAATCATAATTAAAAATATAAACACGGTACATTGCCACTTTAAGACAACCATTCCGCCCCTCTGCCAAAGCAGTGCCGTTATTTCAGACATTAAAATAAACTGCTATGTGTAATGTGTTTGCATGGTTGTATTGGTGCGGATTAAGCTTAATTTTGGTGAAATAATTATGTCTCTGAAACTTTTGGTTTCTGAGATATTGAGTGGGGTTGAAAATTGACGCAAAATAGCCAATTTCTCGAACAAGGGGTCTGTCAGTTCGCGTTACTAAATGGACAGTAACTCAGTTAATTCTGCCCCGATTTTGATAAACTTGATGGTGTTACAATACTGAGATGTACAGCGTTCGGGAAATAACAAGTTTCTGGAGAAACAAATAATATTTCAAAATAGCTGCCGGTCGCTATTTATAGAATTCACTGAATATATTTTTTCCCACCCAAATCAGTACTCCACATGAACATCCCTGACTACTGCCCATTATTACAACAGTCGGTATTTTAGAACTATGGTCGGCAACTTTATTTCGGGGGTGGGGGTCAAATTATCTTTTCTGCGGGGCACTCACCCAGCCCCCCTTGCCCCCGGCTGGCTACGGGTGTGCATTCAACTATGAGTCATACACGTTTTTCACCATTACTTTGGATGCTAAGAAGAGAAACTTATGGAATCTCACAAACTCCACATTGTTCAAGTACAGCGTTTGAAAAAACTTAATTCTTAAAGCTCACCGGAAAAGATTCATAAACTTTTTAAATAATGCAAGCAATGTCAACATATCTCCTTAAGTATCACACGATCTCGAATATCAATGTTATCTGCCACAGGTAAATTTCAACGTTATAAGCGATTTCCGCCATTCTCCGTGACATCATTTTTTAGTCCTTCTGTTCATATTCTAGTCTATATGGAAGAAACAAGAGGAAGACGCGCATACATATTTGTAGATGGTGTGACTGTAACAGAATCTACCCAATCAGGATCTTTAGTTCAATCTGTGTAAATAGGAGCATACTCACCATATTGGAGGGGTTGGATGGCCGAATGGTTTGCACGTGCGCGCTGTATCATAAAGCCTGTCATTGAGTCAACTGGCGTGGTTTCGAATCCCCGGCTGTACGTGACAAGGAGTAGGGTCGCCTGTGCAACCTCGTAGGTTTTCTCCGGGTCCTCCGGTTTCCTCCCACTGCTAAAGACCCATACGCGCAAGCGAATTATTGAAATTAAAAACCATATGTTAGTCCTGAAATGACCTAGTTTGTGTCGAGTGGACGTTAAACCCCATTTCTCTCTCTCTCTCTCTCTCTCTCTCTCTCACTCACCATATTCAGACCTTAATTCTTTCTATTTTTGATAGATCTAAATTGATCTTTAGGAGAGTCCCAAAGAAAGGTGTATTCGCAATTGCCATGGCTAATGCCAGCCTCTGAAAAAGGGGTTGTATGTAAATACCAAATGATGGAATAACTTCAGGTTTGGGCGGATATAATTGTCCATGGTGTGGTGGTGTTATACGAATGTGATATGGTAAGTAAAGATGCAATATCTGTATTATACTGCAGGGCCAGTTTATCACATCTGTTGTACAGAGCGGACTGATGCACCACGAGGTATAAACTGTCTACTGGAGATGTACGAAATGCTAATACTGATTTTAAGTCATTGATTGTGTGTATCGAGTTCTTTGCGATAAGAATTGTGTGACGACAAATACACTATACACTATAATCGAGTTT